CCAGTGGGGTGAATTCTACTGCTGTCTCACTACTCCCTAAGGTACCAAACGCTGATACTTTAAAAAAATTTAGGCCAATTTCTTGTGTGAACATTCTGTACAAGATTGTTTCTAAAATACTTGCTAAAAGGATTAGGGAAGTGTTGCCAAAAGTCATAAGTGGTACTCAATCTGCATTCATCAAAGGGAGGAACATAATGGATAATATCCTGTTAGCACAAGAATTGGTTAGTGGGTATCATAGGAAGGATTTATCCTCAAGATGTGCCATTAAGATTGATATTATGAAAGCATTTGACTCGGTTAATTGGTCATATCTCTTTCTTATGATGAATTCAATGGGGTTTCCAGACCAGTTTATGAGATGGATAAAAAGTTGTCTTCATACTGCTCATTATAGTATAAATGTGAATGGTAGCCTTTGTGGTTTCTTTAGAGCAAGAAAGGGGGTTAGGCAGGGTGATACACTATCACCCTACCTTTTTACTATAGCTATGGAAGGGCTTTCATCACTGCTAATGAAAGCAGGACAAACAGGGGCTCTTCCTTTTCATCCACTATGTAGAAGAGTTTCCTTGAATCATATTTGTTTTGCGGATGATATTTTGGTTTTCACGGTCGGCTCTGCTCAGGCTATTTTGCAAGTCAAAGCTATATTGCAGCAGTTTTATCAGATGTCTGGGTTGAATAGTAATCCAGCAAAGTGTGAAATTTATTTTGGTGGGGAGTCAGTAATCTACAAAAGGAATGCACTGACTCTTTCTGGTTTCCAGGAGGGACAACTTCCTGTTAGATATTTGGGTTTGCCATTGATAACTGGCAAATTATCCTCAAAGGAGATTGATACTTTAGTGGATAAGATCACAAAGAGGATGAAATCCTGGAGGGCAAAGAAATTAACATATGCAGGAAGGTTACAGTTGCTCAATTCTGTGTTACTTGGCATTGTTAATTACTGGATGCAGCTATTTGTGTTGCCTAAACTGGTTTTTAAGCGAATCCAGAAGGTCTGTTCTCAGTTTCTCTGGCATGGAATTACTGAAGGCAGGGCTAAAATAGCATGGAAGTCTATTGCTCTTCCTAAAAAAGAGGGAGGGTTGGGAATAAAAGACTTAGTGAGTTGGAATCAAGCTTGTACTGTTCGACTGCTCTGGCTGTTTTTGCTTAAGTCTGGAACTCTATGGGTAGCCTGGATGTATGCCTATAAATGTAAGCAATGGAATTTATGGGAAATGAAACTTTCATATAGTAGTTCTTGGGCGTGGAGGCGATTGCTGAAACTGAGATCCTTGATTCAGACTTGGTTGCATCAACGCAATGATGAAATTTACTGGGGGGCAACACTGATGAAGAGATACTTTGTAAGACTGGTTTGGGAGACTCTGCGAGCTCGTGAGTCAGAAGTGTTGTGGTATAAATTGGTATGGTGTAAGCCCTGCCCATTAAGGTACAATTTCTTAGCTTGGCTTATAACTAGAAACTCCATTACTACTCGTGACAAGTTATTGCAGTGGGGGAAGATTACAGATGCGTCTTGTCCAATGTGTGGGGGGGCTGCTGAAACGAGAGAGCACTTGTTTGTGCAGTGCTCGTATATACATCAGGTTGCTTCTGCTCTTCGCTTCAACCTGTTTCAATTTAGTGGTTGGGATGACATGTTGAATGGTATGACGAATATAGTCAGTAGAGATTCAAAGTTGGGGCATTGGCATGCTATGCTTTGGTGTTTTCTTCTATCTTTTGTATGGAAAGAACGGTGTGCTGTGGTCCATGGTTCAGCCTGCAAACCTTCTACTAGGCTAGCTGAACTGCTGCAAGAGGAGATACATTTCATAGTTGCTGGTCATCAGGAGTTGCAGGTGGAATTGGAGGGATTGGGGTATATCTAGTCTGTTAGTTGGATGCTTATATTTCTGTTCTACTTTTCTTCACTGTAAGTAGTTTTGCTTTTGGGGTTTGAGTGGGGAGTGATTGTAGAGGTTGTAGTTTTGGCTTTGGGGTCCTTGCGGCCCTATCTCGTTGTATCGGTTTCATTTTGAGCAATAAAAGAGGCTGATTCAACGAAAAAAAAGAGTTAATTGGTGTCCTTAGATGAGCTAACATGAACGAAAGTATGAGGTCCTAAATTCAAATGATCATATTAAACCTTACATATCTGAAGAATTTTGTTGCCCTGTTTTTTCCCAACTGAGTCCTATGACCCCTCTCCTCAAGAGGTGGCTCAGCCACTGCCCGTAGGGTGTTTACGTATTCAACAATTGTAAAATGCAACATTTCAATGCTTAATTCTAACACAACGTGGTTAGTAATACAAGATTGATTTACGACATACAACGGTTTCAACAGATCTTGGTATTCTCATTGTTTACAACGTGTTAAACTATAAGAAATTAAATTGATTAAAGAAACTCCCATTGTTTACATAGGGACCACCTAACCATCCCCCATTGGCCCATTTTCCCTCCCTGTTTTTTGTTTAAAAACGAGTTATGTTAGTAGGAAAAAAAAGGAAGCAATGCATGTTGGCCATGTGTTCTCAAGCGCAGCCCATTCACAGCCCTTCTCTCCCACGCGGCACGCGCATTGGTTTTGGAAATCAAAACCCTAAATTCCATTTTCCCCTTCCGTTCTCCCCAATCCAGCTGCTCCCTCCTTTCCACCATAACCAAGATGAAACCCTAGTCGTCGATCATTACACATTCACCCTCCCATTGTTCTCAATCACTTCTGTTCTTTCGCCTTGAACCCAAAGGGAAAAAAATCCTACCCATCTACCTCTTCATTCCTTCCTCTACTTGCCTCCAGGCTCTCACTTCGTTGTGAGGGGTCTTCTTCTCTGGCGCGAAATGGGTGACGATTTGGAGATTGATGTCGGGGAGACAACTGCAAGGAGAAGGTTCGTATTTTACTCAAATAGATTTTTGATCTTATTCTTGGTAGCTAATGAAGGCCTGACTCCAGTAGCCTAAACCCCTCGTTTGTTTTTGTTTTTTTTGGTTTCCGGGGTGCGTTGGGCTAGAGATATGGTACTGTGAGAATGAAAACATGTAAACTTGTAAGGACAGCGCAGAAGATCATCAGATGGAGTTCGTTTTTTCATAACGTTCGTTCTATAAACTTGTAAGTATATCTGGCTTCGTAGCTTGTTGACACGGTTTGTATTAATTTGATTCCAAATCTCAGTTTTTCCCTCATGTGTGTTAGCTAATAACTGAGTTTGGAGACTAGTTACCTAGTCCAATCCATTTTATTGATCTTCTTTTATTTTTTATGAGGTTGTGTTGGCGGCAGTTCGGCGGCCAGTCCCAACATGTAGACGTGTCTACAAAGGGCGGAGAAGAACATCAGATGTAGTTGGAGTGTTCATAATAAATATTGTGGAACCATATTCCATCTGGTGGTTCTTTTCCGCCCACTTGACTCCTACATTTTGGAAGAAACTCGCAAAGGCTGTAGGAGATTTGAAAGATTTGAGGTTGGTTTCGTTCTATTGTTGTTTCGTCTGTTGTTTCTTTGTTGGTCCGAATCCCTCAACTGAGAAAATTCATTGCTTGCAGAGTTGTGAAGGCCACTGCTGGATTCGGGAGATAGTTTATGTACCTCTGGTTCTATCACAATTTTGATGGTATCATTTTATTTCCTTCCAGTTTCAAATGTTCATTTGAGAACACATGTGTATGCAAAATATTTGGTACTAGAGTAGATGATATAGTAATTCTGGAATGTATTGCAGCTATGTAGGAGTGCTTCATTCATAGGAATGCCCCATTACTATTTAGCTTGAATATGTACCATTGGAACTACGGTATCCTTTATTCCTTAACCCTTCAAGAAAGTGTATGATAGTAACATGTGGTCTGCGGAAGTATTTCAACCTGGACCATATACTTTAACAAATTTTCATTTTTTATATGTTGCTTTATGAATATCATTTGTTTGATTTGTCGATTTTCTTTCATTATATGTGCACGTCGTTGCCATGGGGAGTGTGAAGGGAAGGATGGAATCTTACATGCGAGAAGAACATTATCCAGATGAGTACCCAAAGTAGGATTTGTATGCTTTGTTGTGGTCCCAAGCTTCCATCGAACTTTGTTTCCTGTATTGTGAATGACGCTATTTTTGTTGTGTCTATGCAGGAGTTAAACCCCTGAAGAATTATGTCAAGTGAGGCCAAAAGGAGGAATCGCTATTCTCTATGGGGTCAGACTAGTGAAGGAGAAAGAAATTGGCCCGATGTTGTAGAGTCTGTTGTAAAATGGTGATCGAGATACTAAAACAAGCAAAAAATCGAGATACTGAAACAATGGAAAATATGCAGAACTGAACTGGGGGTCATTTGTTCGGATATGTTGAAGGAGGATTTGTATGCTTTGTTGTGGTCCCAAGCTCATGTGTTTGCTCATCTAGTTTCAGTTTCCGAGGAAACTCATTTTCATTGTAATGTTCTACCACAAAGGGTAGCTGACGTTGTAGCCTTTGAGGCAGTTGATTCTTGATTTTAATGAATCATAACAGTGGGCACAGTTGTTGCCTTTTATGTACTGGATTGTTCTGATTAAATATAAGAAGAGAAAGTAGCATGCCGAAAGAAAATCAGGATGGTTCTCCTGTGTCCATTATTTTCGAATCTCTGTGTTCTCCTATAATTAACTTCTGTAAATCACTCATCCAAACAATTACACCTTAGAATCCTTCCATTTTAAGAATCCTCATGAAACAGACCCCCAAGTTCTAGACAGAACTTTGAATTTTATAGGAATAGGAGCATTCAACATCAAAAGATAAATCTTTTTCCAACATAATCCCATAGAAAAGAAACATCTGCTAACCATAGTTCTCTAATACATTTTGGGCTGTTCAATCAGATTTCCACACACTCAAGATCTACAACCAATTTGGCAAACACAATAGAAAGAGATGCATTGAGTGCAGGCCCGTACAACTAATATCATTTACTAGAAAAGCTAGTAGTGTGTTGAGAATTGAGAGCATAAAATTCAGACCTCTGAAGGAACAACCCATTTGCCGTTTAACCAGTCCTGATGTGGCCTCAAATCAACCTGCTTGAACGTTATCTTCTCGTCGTACTCTTTAAAGTAAACCACATAATTGCAGTTGATCAAAACCTTTGAAATCACGCCAACCCACCAGCCCTCGTTGTAGTAAGCATCTACTTCATCCATCACCTCGAATCCATCCACAACAGTGATCTCCAGCGGACAAGGCCTTATGTTGCAAGCACGAATGTCTTCTCTGAGAAACTCAGTATCATCATCATTCGTCAGGGTTTTGTACTCAATAAGGTACTCGTCTTCACCTGAAGGTTCAATAATTGTTGCAGCAAACCAAGCACCTTTGAAACCGTCGTCGTCAGTTGTCACCTCGACTTGCATTCCTTGAGTGAACTTCATCACTTCCTTGGGACAATTTGAGTCTGCCTTTGGCTCAGACGAACTCTCACGTTTTGCTACTTTGCTTGGCCTAGTTCCAGTTTTCTCTAGCGACCTCTGCATGTTTATGAAGCGATTCAACGAGGTTGAGACATTGTGAACAAGAACAAATGCCATCTCTAATCACCCAATTCTCTACTTTCCTCAGCCTAACTAGATCCAGATTCAGAATTCCCTAAAATTGTCATACCAAGCAACGGAGCAGGAAAAGTCATAAAATCGAATTAGCTCACCTCTTTCTCCCGCTGAACCTGTTCAAATCTCGGCTCCCACTTCCCTTTAACCCACTGAACAGGCAACCTCAAATCTTTCTCTTCAAACACAATCTGCTCCTTTGAGCCTCTCAAGAACACCGCGAATTTCCCGCCGGAGTGCTCCGCAGTAATAGCCCCTTCCCACCAGCCGTCGCTGTGGAAGGCCTCGACTTCGTCGCCGAACTTGAACTGGACCTTCTTCTGCTTCTCGGGAGGCGGCGGCGGACGCAATTGCATCCAATCGAGGGTTTCTTGCAACAGCTTCTCCCCAGATTCGTCCTCGTAGAGCTGGTCATACTCGACTACGTAGCGATTAGGGTTCTTCTCAGCGAGGGATTGCCATACCCGATAAAATACCTTGGTTCCCGCGCTACTTTATTGAGCCACCTCCAGTCTCCTCAAGTGGGATACCCCAGCAACTGAATGGTACATGAATCCTCCCACTCACATGGCCTCAGATACACAAAGATCAAGGGTGAACCCAACATAAATCACAAGGGTTGCGTATGAGTACAGTTTACCCAACATTTTACCAAATTGTGTTACAAAAAATAATAATTTTAATATATAATTAATAAAATAATATATTAAAGAATTAAAAAGAGATGAACCCAAATTTCAACTCAACCGTGTAAAAACATTGGGAAGGAGAAGATATGCCGTGATTTTAGTTGCACCAAATTTTATCTCTTATTTACTTAAGAAATTAATAAGTTTCCTTCTCAAATTAAAACTCTAGCACATCCCTTTATATTCTACTAATACACATCCCTTCCCCTTTCTACGCCACTAAGACCACCTTCAGTGGTGTTTTAGTATTCCAAAAAAATGGCCCCATTCACTTTTAGTAGGGTTCCAGAATTCGAAAAGGTCCATTTAATGCAATTATTGGTTCCAAAAATGGAACACAAGTGGACAAAAGTTCCAAATAACGGGGACGACCAGGGCATACGGGAAAAACGCATTGGGGGGATGGATTCTGCCATTTTTCCACCTGTTGGAGAATTAGAAAAAGAAAAATGTACTCATTTAGTACCAATATTCACCCCCAACGGTTCTTTGAACCCAAACGGCTCTTTTTTTTCAAAATTTCCATATAAATAGTTAAATACACTTCAATACGTCATATTTACAAATAATGTTTTTTGTCGGAATTAAAAAAAAAATTATCGAAATGTTCGTCTTTATTAATTATTACTACCTATATAAAAATAATGAACAAATTTTGTAATTAAAATGATGAAATATGCACAAAACTGGATTATGAGTTAAAATGCATATCTGGAAATGTAAACATTTGGAACTCATTACTAATGCCAAAACACCTTTTGATGGGCTAGATTTTGAATTATAGCCCCAAAATCTGGACTTTTGGATTCAACCACTAAAGATGGTCTAAGGCAGAAAATACCAATCAATATAAAAAACCCTTTGCTTTTCATTCTAGTTCTACCACTATTGTCGTAGACTCGTAGTTGCTTCCTTCATTCCAATTGCATCCTGCAATTTCTTTCGAATTGTTAAAATCCTCTTCCTCTACCATTATCAAAAAATATCAATCGACCTCTAAATGTTGTTCTCTCTTACATTTACAGTTGACTGTCGGTCTACGTCTCTCCGAGTACTACCGAGTAACCTATAAGCTCGTCTCCAAGATGCTACACATATCTTGCGAGAGTTTTGGAGTATGGTGCTTAACCCGTTGATTTCTAGCTTCTTGTATATTTATACATACGATTAGATTGATTCAATACTTACACCCTTATTTTTGTATTTCGACAGCAATGCCCACCCGTGCTTACGCCATATACAAAAAAGAGCAACAAAAAGACAGTCGAATAACAATGAGTTAGATGAGACACACTCGCAATCTGAATCTCCTTAATGATGAATATGATATCGGATTAGACCCAAGTTGAAAAAATTTGAAACTATGATAAAAGGATAATTTTTTGTAAATCAATTATGCGGCCAAGCATGTAATTATTTGTGACAACTAGACATCGAAAAGTGTATTTGTGTCAGAATATTACCACAATTGACATTATTTGTGACAACTATACATGTCACTATGAACGTCTTATTTATATGTGACTCCTGCTTTTGGCGTAGATGGTGTGCTCGTAATAAATAAAAATAATACATTACCTCCCAGACAACCCGAGTGCAATGGGTGAATGGCTACAAGCAAATACATATCAAAATAAAATTAGAAATAAAATAAATTGATTTACCTAGTGTCTTTCTACTAAGCCATGTATATAAGTATGTGGAAGATGGGGAAATGTTATTGTGATGGCAATAATCAAAATTGCCTGCTCCACATCTCTTCTCATCAGGGCACGTGTAGTAGTGTCGGTAGTGATGAATTGAGATTCTTTTTGTGGCCAACTCTCTTGCTAAAATCCAACTAATTGAGAGTAAATAACACACCCATCCACCTTGCCTTTTTTATGTGGAGGCATGGGAAAGTGATCTTTTTAATTCATGTGTATGTGGTAAATGGTGGGTGGTAGAATTTCCACCTCATTTTTGCCTAAGGCCACGTTGGTGTTGACTCATCCATCTTTCTCCACCTCTTATCCAAGTTAAAAGGGTTGGACAAGTTTGATGATTGGTGGTTTGAGTGAGGAATAGTACAGGTAAGGGTTCCATTACCATCCATCAACTAATTGCTCTTAATAATTCGCACACATGGAAAATGGCAGGTGATGATGTGTTAATACATCATTTGGTTGGAGGTAAGCAAATAGAAATCGCCATCCACATGGGTTTAGCTTTAAGAAACCATTCCATGGATGTAATTTGGTTTGATGGGGTTATTTTGGAGGGGAGAGCACCCAAACCCAATGTTTTAACCAGTAGTAGATACCAACACCATTAACTTACACATATATATGATTTTATCATTATTCTCCTTGTGATCACCTAAAAATGGTTTGTGACGATTGTGTGATGTTGGTTGAATATTGGGTCTATCAGTTATATACGAAATTAATTTCATATTTTAATATTGAAACTATAATAAATTTTATTTGTGGTGAATTGAAAAAAGTAATAAGCATCCATTCTCTCATTTTTCATTACAAAAATGTGTAAAATAAAGTGTACATAATGGTAGCGGCAAAATGCAACGTAAAAAGAAAATTCAAAATTGTTAAAATTTGGCTTTTACCTTCTCAGAATAGCGCTTTTTTTTCCGCCAAAAATTTGCGTGTCTTTTGAATTCGTCCCCCAGAAACGTTTCCTTCATTCTGACCCCCCACTCTCATTCTATCTTGCATGTCGTCAATCTGAGAGAGAGAGAGAGAGAGAGAGAGAGAGAGGCGATGGCGGTTCCGCGTTTCTGCCGACGAGTAGAGAGAAAGAGAGAGTTGACGATTCCAATCATTCCATCGACTGGCGACGGCGATTCCGCGTTGCTGCCGACGAGTAGAGAGAGAGAGAGAGAGTCGATGATTCCATCGATTGGAGACAGCGGTTCCGCGTAGCTGCCGACGAGTTGCTCGGTTGATGAAACCTGGTGGATTTGAGGATGTTCCTATCGGTTGTGTTAGGCGAAGATGCTCCAACTGGAAGATAAAGAGTTAGTGATATCTCGCGTTTCCTTCTCCTTTTCCTTCCCCGAATTTTTGGTTTTCGTTTTCAGTTCTTTGATTTCCTCTTTGTTTGGCACGAGATGCATACAAAACAAATCTGGATTGGTAAGATCGGCAACTATGGTCTCGTTCCCTCGGATTAAAAAGGCCCCCCTAAGGGACGATTGCAGGTAGTTGCTATGCAAGTTTTCATTTCGTTTCTTTGAGTTCCTATAAAAATCAGGACATGACTGGACACTCCCCAATTACCGAGTCCAAACTTTGGGTTTCTGAACTCCTTTCTTTTATTTCGTTTTGTTTTCATGTTGATTTGAGGAGTGCGAATCGGGGGAGGAGGAGGAACTTGAAGGAACTTCGAGGAGTTAAGGTGCTTCGAGGAGGCCATGAATGGGAGCAGCACAAGCAGGGTACTGGGCATCGAAAACAGGTATCTAAGCCTCGAGTGTTTGTGGACAGATCTGGCCTTTGTTGATAGATGGGTTCTAAACAGAACATAAAAATAATCTACATAGAACATAAAAGTCATCTAAATAGATCAGAGCTACTTCGTTCAGTTCTCGCGGCAGATTTAGTAGGGTAAGCCCTTACTAGACAAAGTCTTGTAGCACTCTCCTGTAACCTCCTAAATTGCTGATGTATTTTCCGGGCAATATCATTTTCATTTCTTGTCCTATCTTGTCTCGGTTGTCTTTTAGTCCTTGTTAGCACACTAACGATTTGTTTGTCTTCTTTGTATGTTCAGTTTCCAATAGGGATAGATTCAGAAAGGGTTATATCAGCGCTTAAGCTCCCTAAGGTGCAGGAGCACATAAAAGAACTGACGGAAAGGTTTCGTGGCCGTAAGGTTTAAAATGAATTTAACCTCCACATGCTGTTTTACTTGCTTAAGAGAAAGCAACCTACTGATTAAAGTCACTGGCTTAGTTTCTTCATTCTTGAATGTAAACGTCCTACTCTTTAATAGGTGATGCTAGGGTTGATCGTCTCGATATGATTAAGGGAATACCACAGAAGATACTTGCATTTGAGAAGTTTCTTGAGGAGAACCCTCTATGGCGTGATAAAGTTGTTCTGCTGCAAATTGCTGTGCCAACAAGAACTGATGTTCCTGAATGTAAGCTTCCTAGTTATCTTGATTCATACAGCAAAAAGAAAACATGCCTTATTCTTGTTTGGAGTATTCATTTGAAGTACTAATAAATTATATTTGTCACATGTGTACAGATCAGAAACTTACAAGTGAGGTTCATGAAATCGTTGGGCGCATTAATGGCCGATTTGAGGCACTAACTGCTGTTCCAATACATCACCTGGTTTGTTACTGTCAACTTAACTCATCTTCTTTCCATATGTTTTGTAAGCTGTTAGTGGAAACAATGGAAGCTGTTTCCGGTCTTTCCATGTAATATCGTGATTAGTTCTTTTACGTAAATTTGGTCACCAGACGGCTGGTGATTGTATCCTGAAATAGACTTCTGTTAATGCAGGATCGGTCCTTGGATTTTCTTGGCCTATGTGCATTATATGCTGTTACTGGTACAATGTTCTTTTGATGTGTAATTTAACTACAACTTTTTCCGAGTTCAATTGAAATTGTCGACCTTGTTTCTTGCATGGTTGTTTAAAGTCATAGACGTGGAACTTATGTTACACTTCCCTTTATGTTCCTTGATCTACACAAGTATCCTTAGTAGGATTTCGAGTTTGTGTGCTTATGTCATGATCTCTATTCCCGTCTTGCAGACGTGGCGATTGTAACCTCATTGTGAGATGGAATGAATCTCGTTACTTATGAGTTTGTAGTATGCCAATATTCAAAGAGAGGTGTTCTTATTCTTAGCGAGGTACTTAGATATTAGTCAGCCGATTTCAATTCATTCTCATAGAACTCAAATTATATTTTAGAATGCGTTGATTCTCTATGATGAGTTCACAAATTCTATTTTGACTGATGATCATACTTCAGAAAGTATGTGTTCCTCCTTTGACATGCAATTACTGTATCGATAATCGCATACGTGAGATTCTGACTCTGACCATCTTAAATTGCTGTATTTTTTCTGGACAGTGAGCTCAATGATACAGTGGTTGAGGCACAACTAAGGACGAGGCAAGTCCCACCTGGGCTTCCTCAGGGAGATGCGATTGAATGTTATCTCAACTCCCACAATCGATTGCTCATACTGGTATGCTTTCAACCCTTAAGCCTTTGTCTTTGTGCCCCATTTTGTCCATTTCAAAAACATTGCCTCGAGAAAAGGACTAGAATTGTTTCTAAAATACTTACAGAACTGAACATATCCTAGATTGAAGAATGCACCATTTTTCTTTCGTGGGTCCGACTTCTCTGAAGTGCATTTTCAAATGCTTACAACCCTCGTATATTTTTTTTTTAATGGAAACTACCATCCTGTACTTGAGTTGCATCATTCTAATGCATTTGAGATTACAGTGCCTAATACACTCAAACAAATCAAAAGTGTCAACGAAAAATGATATATTTGTTCAATTCTATTGATAGTATATCTCTTCGTAATGCAGTTGAGGCCTCAAGGAAATCTGAAGTGGACAAATTGAAAAAGCACTTCAGACTGTAGGTAAATTACGCATTTCCAATGTCACTGTTAGAATTTTAGGCGGCTATACTGGTTAGACACATGAATGGGTTTCCATATATTTGGCTTCAACATCTAATTCAAAGATCTACCTGTTCTTATGCTGCAGTTTATGGAGGAGCAACCCGTGAGGCATTAGCTAGCCAAGTCTGCTTCACAAAAAAAAAAACAAAACAAAACAAAGAAGAAAAGCCAGGTATGTCCTTTCAATTGCAAACAGTTCATCTCCCGCAATGTATCCTTCGTCCAACAAAAATATGAAGTGTCGATGGAGTTTACTTTTGTGAAATATACCAAGATAAAAGATTTTGTCCCCTAAAATCAATAATGAAATTGTAAACTCAATAAAAAGTGGTCATTGCTTTCCATGGGCGTTTCAACTTCTTGCTATGGAAGTGCTAGTGAACTTCATTTGTTTTTCTTGATGCTTCTGTTCTTTTCACCACGGGTTCTAGTCTGATGTTGTTTCTGTAGCAGACCAAAATAAGAAAAAATAATATTAAACATGTAACTTCCAACACAAAGAATCATCTAATCTTGCTGGTTAAATCATTAGTGTGATTGGAAAAGTACCAGTTCATGTTCATCGCTTGGACGATCATCATGCCGACTAGTACTCCCAGCACTATGTTCTGTATGCTTCTCTGCTCCCTTCTCTGCTCCCTTCTCTTGTTCACTAGTATTGCTCCTAGTACGTGCCCCGATCTGTTAGAGGGCAAATAAACTCTTAAGCTAATAGCCATTTCTAACAAATCGATAATTTAGTGAATAAACAAATGATATATAACCTTCTGTTGTGGCTGACTTTTTCCTATGGGCTCTCCAGTAGTATTATGCTTGCTCGTTCGTTGCTTCTGGTAAAAACAAAATAACAACTGTAGGTTATTAACTCTAATAACTATAGCAAGAACACCTAACCAGAGATGCTAATTACCTTTGGGGGCTGACCACCTTGGTCATCATCTCCATCATCGTCGTCTCCATCTTCTCCGTCGTCCCCATCATCGTCCATGTCATCGTCGTCATCCTCCTCATCAGATTGAGATTCTATCACGTCGGCTGGGGGGTTAGTACAAGTGCTCCTATAATGCCCATCCCTTAGCCCGCAGTTCCCACACTTTCGTCTTTTTTTCTTAAGTTGTTTTTTTCCCTTTTCCTTTCCTACAACCCTTAAACCTCACTTGATTTGGGTTAAATACATCTTTGAACTAGTATGGTATGACAATCCTTTCTCTCTCGGCGGGGGTTTTCTTTACAATCTCCAACTTGTTACACGCTACTGTCAACTCATCTTGAGCCATTCGATAAGAGAGAGGAGTGTCTGCTCCTAATAAGCAGAATCGTTGAGCCATGAACTGTAGCGACCCGTACCTAATGCTGAAACTGCTGTCATCCCCCAATGTACTTGGTTCTGGCAGAGTGTGTAGGGACTTTGGGTTCTTCGAGCAACGTCTGAGTACCAGTTTTTTTGGAATAGTCTTCACTTTTTCTTCTTTGAGAACAAATAGCATATGAACGCAGGGTATCCCAATACTCTTAAACTTTTGACAACTGCACTCCATATCGCTTGTTTCAATGTTGTATTTCACCTCTATGACGTTCTCTTTGTTGAACATGGTAACAGTGTAAGTGTGTAGGTTCCCCTCTTCAGTTTGGTTACCCTTAATGACTCCAATAACCTCCTCCAACTCATTTTTGAACAAAAGAAATGCAGCCTTTGAGAAAAGCTTTGCTGCACTTTGCTCGAGGGGCTTTAGGATTGAATTCTTTATAGGAACTACACCATAATTAGACTCAAAATCTAATCTAATCTCTGTCTCTCTCATGTCTCTGAGCCAACGGTCGTATTGAGTGAAAAAGTCAAGCAAACAGAACCTCTCATTTTCATACCTTGCAACAATCGCATTTATGCTTTCACATCTTGATGTGGTTGTCAACCCAGCAAAGAAATGTGAGTGCAAGTATGTGTCCGCCCATTCGTTGCATCTCCCAAATAGTTTTTTCGACACCCATTGGTTGTTCTGGAGTTTGCATTCCTCTACCAATGCATTCCATTTCTCCTCAAATTCTTCAGGCTCGTACTCAGCAGTTACTAACTTCTTCCACCGGGGTTCAAAGTCGGGTCGATTCTTCACCCTGCCAGTGATATTCTTGGACAAATGCCATGCACATAGCCTATGTGTTGCATTTGGAAACACATTAGCAATAGCTTTCCTCATTGCTTTATCCCCATCCGTGACAACTGTACGTAGCGGAATGTCCCCCAACATTTCCTTCACTATCTTCAACGCCCAAATATAGGTTTCGTCAGTCTCATTGGGCAACAGTGCACTCCCAAATAAGCAAGTTTTGAAGTGATGGTTGATACCTACAATGTCAAACAGAAATTCGGAAAAATAAGAATCTTTTGAACCAGCAGGAGAAAAGCTAAAACTGTGAGGAATATGTAAACAATGGTAGAGTTCATATAATCAGAAACTTGCTGTTTTCTAGATGCCATTATGTGTATTCAAACAACAGAGCAAAGGATAATACTTAGAGGGCATACTAGGATGGTGTACCTGTAAAAATGACCAGTGGCATATTGTAAATGTTTTTTTGGTACGTTGTGTCAAATGCGAGCAACTCTCCAAAACACGAAATGTCGGCTCTGCAAATGCTGTCAGCCCAAAATAAAAAATGGAGCCTTTTTTCCTCATCAGTAGTGTATCGGAGGAGGAAGTGTGGGTCTGTGCTTTTCTTTGATTCTAGATAGGCCAGTGCAGTTGCTGCATCACCCTCGCTGATTCTCTCAGCGCGGTCTTTGGTGCTGAAATTTAACCCATCTTTAATTGTATACCCAAGTTTGTCATGCCCTCCAGCACAATGCACAACAAGCTTAATGGCCTGAGAAGGTTTCATTCCGGAATCCTTTTTAAATCGGAGGTCTGCCTTGTCTGCTTCTGTTAATCCTCAATGCGACCTTAAGTAATGTACCTGATTCTACCTAACTGGGTCATGAGTGTGCTGTGAGTTAAATATATCAGCCACCCACTTATTGCTTGTCTTGTTCAAGCTCACACGAAACATAGCCATGCACTGAAATCTGATCTCCATAGGCGACTCCCTCTTTTGTGGACCTTTATGTGTTTCTCGAACTCCCTGACAAGAACACACGAAGGCTGCACCTGCTACCTCTCCTTTGACGTTCTTAACCTTCCTTGAGCGACAGACAGAAAACCCCCAACTCTTAGCATAGTTGTTGTAGAACGCATATGCATCTTCAAAATGATTGAATTCCTAACCGATAAATGGAGAATTTGGAATAACGTTTGTGTCATCCTCCTGTACAGTAGGACCATCGCTGTCAGAGGTCATTGTTTCTGGTATGATTTCAACATCGCTGTCTTCATTGTTGTTGATATTATCTCCCTCTTCCTCCATTGGTGTGCCGTCTTTTTGCTGTTTGTGGGGAGGGTCTGAATCGGGCGCAAAGCAGAGGTCTTTTTGCTGTTGTTGTTAACCTAATCCGTTTTTCACGTGTTATTAGTTTTTTCTATTTTTTTTCCGTCATGGTGTACAGTTTTTTTTATATTTTAGTACTTTAAATTTTTATTATATTGTTTCCCGTTATGGCTACTAGTTGGATAAAGAATGCAACTAATAAAGAATGCTTGAATTACCGAAAAAAAAATACTAAAGAATGCTTGCGTGTTATATATATTAGATTCAACTTCCAAATAGGTGATGCGGATTGTTTCCATGTTAATTATTACCCGTAAAAATATTATTTTCCTTTTCCACGTGGAGGTTAATGAGGAAGATAAATTTTCCAGTATCCTTATAGAGAAAAACACTCACCCGTTGGCCCTAGTTTAAGAATGCTAACTCCTTTTCTGCATTCACCAGGAGCTCATTCAGGACAGCAGTACAGGAGCTCGGTCAGGGGGCAGAAACCAGGAGCAATATGCAGAACGATAAGGACGGCAGGATGATGACAAAACGCAAGACCAGAAGTTCTTCCAAATTAATGGTTCGTCAATTTGCATTCATTTTTTCCCGTTTTCTCCATCGTTCGCAGATTATTCTTCCAAACTAAATAAGGCATTGTGTTTTTATTACGATGAATTCTTTGCTGGAGAAGGATGAATCTCGAGGAAAGAAAGGTAGAACTGAAGATGGTGTGATCCAGATTGATGGTGATTTGCAGGCAGATTGGAATGACTTAGTTTGGAAAGGCCGTACCAGATTTTCTTACATACAATTCGACAAGAATGTATGATAATCTAGCCCACCAATTTTCCCCGCTTAGAACAAAATCAATTGTTTTTATCCTTATGTTTCGTCTTCTATTGTAGGGTGAAACAAAGTTTACACTTCCAACACTTCTCAAGTACACTAGAGAGAAAGTGAACCTTGCCCACTACATATTTACGAAGGATCTTCCACAAAAGGAAGTCCTGGTTGAAACCATGATGCAATCCTATACACGAAAGGTGTTGTGGTCCCTCTGCCCAAAGTCTAATGTCGATGATGATGTAATTACAGCCATGGCTTGCCAATTGAGCCTGGATGAAGTTTGGAGGGATGTTGGAGATGGAAGAGTAGTCTGTTATCTGCCTGCTGAACTACAAGTATAGTCCCATTTACTTTGTATATTTATTTTAGGTGCAATATTCCGTTTCTCCTATTAAATGTGTTATCTTCTATTTTAAATGAACCATGATCAGGAAATGGTAATTAACTTTGGTAAGAGCTCACACGTGCAGAAAGGTTTCTTCTTAACAATTCCTTTCTTGTTTCATTGAAATATTCCTCAATTACTGTTTCTAGCTACTGTTTGAATTGGATATGCGAATAAATTAGATGTTCCATCAAGCTTTTGATATTTCTATAAATTGTATTTTACAATGCTCAGCTGAGTTTGGTCTTTTTTGTCGTTATTTAGGTGTGTCTGCCCATGAAAGATGCAATGGACGGTGATGCAGTTCACTGGTATTTAGCTGTCATTATGCTGGACGACAAACAAGTCCATCTATTGGATTTGTATCCTTCTAAAAAGCGCCAAAGATCTCGTAGAAACGCAGTAGTAACTATGGTATGGTTTGACCTCCTGATCCTAATACAGTTATATCTCTAA